ATTTAGCCAATCAGAATTTCTTCTAGAATTTTTCATACCATCGATCATTACGGTATTTAGTATTTCCATCTATGGAATATCCCTGACTGTATTTGATTTGATTGATGCGTACACATTAACTATTTATTTATTGGCACTTGGTGTTGCACAAAGATTTGATTATTTTTTTTTTTGGAAAATCAATCTTATAATTTTCGTCATTATCAATTTTAGTAGTCAGACAAAACTTCAACTGAAATTTTAATGTCAGTTAAAGTTGACATCATTAAATTTGATAAAAGATCTGTTTCATAAATTTAGAATACACAAAACTTTGATTGAATGATAATTATGATAAAATATAATATTATAAAAATTATTTGTTGTAGATGGATGATATTTAACTGTTCAATTTACATTTTTTAAATTCTTATTCCACATAAAGCAAACAGTGATAATACATTATAGGTATGGAGTAGCAAGAGAATGCAATGTTTAAATATGTTGATATTATAATTTTAATACAAAAACATCAATGACAAGTAATTATTACTAGAAAATTTCATATCAAAAAATAGTATATTAAATAGTTTTATATATGATTGATTAAAAAAAACCATTCAGTAAATGAATCTCCGAATTAAAATATGTATGTTATATTGATATTGATATTGATATTTAATATACACAGAGTTCCTCGGATTTTTTTTTTTACGTGACTCTTCCCCCAAAAAAATAGTCAAGATAAATCTTTCTCCATCCATCCATTGTTCGATATTACTAATAAATAAAACAACATAGTACAAATAAAAAGCATAACAATAACGCTAATAATCATATTGATAATGATGACTAACTGATAATAATTATGTCATATTTTGACTCTTTTGCTTTTCTTTCTTCGCTCTTTAAAAAAAAATATATTAATAAATAAATATTTATCAATTGTAATAATACTAGTAGTAATAAAAGTGTGTCGCATAAAATAAAGTCGGAATTATTAGGCAGGAAATAAAAGAGTTTAAAAAAAAAAAAAAGTAAATATGCACATAAACTTACTCTATAACTTGATAAATGACTAATAAAAAATAAAAATACTAATTCTAATAAATCGGAGAAAATTCAAAAGCATTATTAATTAGTCAAATCTTTTTTATATCGCACATCTATTTACTACACACCATTCTCACACTCACTTTTTCTCTCTCTCTCACTCTCTCTCTCACATAAAAAAAATTTTTATGAGAGAGAAAAAAAAGTATTTTTTAAATTTTTTATAAAAAATAATTCATGCAAAAATAAAAAATCAGTTTTTTTTTTATTCATGATAAATGATTAATTATTTTATATATTAGTGTCTTTATCATTATACAAGAATATCTTAATCAATATATATTATTATTTATTACTAATCATCATAATAATTATAATTATAATATTAATATCAATAGCGTACGAAAGGTGATAAATTTATTCTTATATTTTATATATTTATGTTTCATGCATTTTTATTTTTATATTTTTATCTCATGAAAAACGCGTAATATAATATTATTATTATTCATTAATTGTTAGGTTTTTAATAAATTTCATATTTACCTTCAAAGATGATCACATCGTTTCAATTTCACCCAGATCAAACATCAAATATTAACAATGACAATAACAGCAACGTTAAAAATGAAAATTCCGCAGGAATTTCAATATTAAATAATGACATGTCTTCTTCTCCTCATGATTTTCTATTAACTGATCAAGAATTAAAAGAAGCTTTGATCTCTACTACATCTTCCCCCGCCTCCTTGTCATCTATCCCTTCATCATCATCATTATCATCATCATCCACTTCATCAATTATTTCTTCATCCACTTGCAAAATTATTAATAACCAGAATCTACAAAATAATCATTCATACGATAATCAACAAAATAACATTTTTCATCATCTTCATCGTCATTTCCCTCATCATCATCATCATCATCACCACCATCAACATCAACAACCAACATATCGACAAGTTAAAAGACGTAGAAGGTTGACGGAGGATGAAACTTTGAAATTAAATAAAATCTTTGAAACAATCCAAAAACCTGATTCAAATCTACGTACACAATTGGCAAAACAACTTAATATGTCTTCGAGAGCAATTCAAGTTTGGTTTCAGAATCGTAGAGCTAAACTTAAACGTGATGCAATGGAATTAAAAAGTGCAGCGGACAGTAATAGAAATTTTAAACCTAAAAAATTAACCTTGGCTGTCGATTATTGTAAAGAAAATCATCTAAATAGTGTTGATATAGTAAATAATATCATTAGAAGTAGCAACAATATCAATAGTATTAATACGGGCGATAATATTAATGATAATCATAGTAACGAAAGTGAATTTTTTTCTTCGATTTCTCCTACTACGTCAATTGATTCCTCTCCTCCTCCACCGCCACCAATATCACTATCACCATTATCAGCAACAACAATAACAGCATTTTCTGAAATTGATAATAACAATAATAAGGATGATGATGGTATTATTATTGATGACAATGATGTCTCTGGTGTTAATTTGAATTATAATAATAATAATAATGAGGAGAATGAAGAAGACGAAATTGTTTTCGCTGATGATACTAATATTGCTGACTATGATGATGATGACGACGACGACGACGATGACGACACTGTTAATAATAATGATAATGATTTCGCCGATATTATGGATGACGTTGATGATATTTTTCGCAATAATCAAAGTTATGTTTTGGATGACGATGATATTAACAATTATTATAACCAAAATTATCATTATTTTTGCAACAACAGTAAAATTGTTTGTGGTATTATTAATGGCAGTGATAGCATTAATAATATTATAATTAGCGGCGGTAGCAATGATAATATTATTCATAATAACAACAACCATCATACATATAATAACAATCATAATAATGGAATATCATCACCAAATATTGAGCATTTGGCAATTGCTTTGACCTCCAATAATAATAATGATAATAATAATTCGGATCTTGATCGTCACCAGCAATCATTAAATTCTTCTTTGATATATCCAATTGATTTTAATGAATTGAATTCGCCGCATACACCTTCTCTTCTTCCACCACCGCATCATTATCCTCATGTTCACCATCCCAATCATTTGCAACAAGAAGAATTTGGTGATAATAAAGAAACTTTCAATGACATTTCTTCTATTTCTAATAATAATCATAACAATGGTAATAATAATGTTCATGAATATTGGAATACTACTGATAATTGTTTACCAATCATAGATGAAAATGACGATGAAAGATCAATCATTACCACATCCACATCCACACCTACTACCCTCAATCCATATTACGAACAAAATTATCAAAGTAATTATTATTGTTAATTGACTTTTTTTTAGAAATTCAAAAAAAAAATTTTAATATATTTTTTTGTTTAAGTGACCAATCCATCATTAATAATTCCACATGTTTCCGAACATTTCAATTCTTTCTTTCACTCGCTAAACAATAATCCACCAATTCAATTCATTAACATTGACAACAACAACAACAACAACAACAACAACAACAATAATAATTGTAAACAACAACAACAAGAAATTTCAATACCTCATGGTACTTTGGATCTTACAACAGCAACTGCCACTACCAATAATAGTATTAACAACTATTTCAATAATATCACAAATACAAATGAATTTTCATCTTCTATTATCGATATTGACATTGATAATAATGATCATCAAAGTTTACCATTAATGACAACAAATTGTCTTCCTTCTCCTACGACAACAATTTGGCCACCTAGTACAAGCGCAATCACTAACACAATCACCACGACCGACAATTCATCATCATTATTTGACGATATTGAAAAGCAACAACAACAAAATATTAGTAATTCATCGCTTAACCATGATAATAATAATTCTCGATCTCAATCTCCCTCGTTCAACGAATTTGATTCTTCCTTTAAATTTAATAATCATGATTCTTATAATTCACATTACGATTTCAATATTAATGCACTACAAAATCTTGGTTCTAATATTATTGCTACAACTACAACAACTTCTGTTTTAACCGATCCTCTTTTAAAATCTTTAGTTACTCATTCTCAACACTCTTCTCGACATCCTTCTCCTTCTTTGTCACTTTCTCCATCTTCGTCTTGTTCAAATAAAAATTATTTAGACGGTGATGGTATTGTTGTTCGTAATGGCAATAATGACAATGATAATGGTGACGATATTCACGGAGTCGATTTACATGATGAGGATGACGATAATGCAAATAATATTAATCATATCGGTAGTAATAATATTAATAACAATGATCTCGATAATAATGACGACAATATCAATCATCACAATAAAGATAATGATAATGATGATAATGTCAACATAGTTAATAACGATAACAACAATGATGATATTAACGTTAACGAAGATGATGACGACGAAAAAAATTATCGGAAAATTTTTATTATCAAGAAAGAGAATAATAATAGTTACGAAAATGAGGACGATGATGATGATAGTTGTTGGTATTAAATATTTGAACTATGTAAAAATAAAAAGTATTTTGTAAATAACAGTTTATTTTATATTTTGTAAATTTTGTTTTTTTGCATTTATATGATTACAAAATTATTTGCTTAATAAAATTGCAATTGACAATAAATACAAAGAAACCCATTTCTCTTTACTCGACCACTTCACTCATCGCCATTTAACACTAATATAAGGATGAACTATGCAATGTCTTTCCTTATTTGTATTTCTCGGGTCGTGATCATAGCATATTGCCAAAGGCCAGAAATTTTTCTTATATATATAATTTCTATTTGTAATAGCACATACATACATGTATGTCTCAATCTCAATCATTTGTTATTCAAACAAACAACCATTTCAATTAATAACCATTATTTTCAATAGAAGCTTTAAACCAATAAATAATATCAGCGACGAAAGTCACGGTCGTAAATCATATTTATAGTGGAGTCAATGAAAATGATTTAACGAAGAAGGCTAAATAATAAATATTATTATTACTTAACTCACAACAGATCCAATTGAAAATGTCAATTTTGAATTCATAGGTAAGAATCTAATACTTTTATCTACTACATTCATTGGATCTTCTTTTGTTCGTAAGTTAAGCTTTGTCTTTATTAGGTCTACTGCTTGAGATTTTGATATAAGAAATTTTACGTATTTTAGTAAGTGTTTATTATTTATTAGGGATTATGTACTGACTGTATCAACGTCCATAATGAGGAGATATACCAACAATTTTAAAAGTATATACTCGAAGTAAATAGTATGGATGGACATTAATTTTTTGGGCGCAATGAATAAAAATTAAAACATTTACTTTTCCTGGTGACGGTGAAGGGGATTAAAATGGGAGATACGTTGTTTCATCTAAATCATATATATAATATTATTATCAGTAATCGATTAATTCATTGATGTTATTATTTTACAGTAAAAATTTATTACAATGACACTATCAGTAATTCCGATTAACCCCTGGACAATACTTTACCAACCCCAAATTTGTTCATCGTTCCTAGTTATCATTAACTTGGGGAATAAAGGATGGTATCAATAAGTAATACATGCAAATTAATGAATAAATAAAAGAAAAATAATATTAGTAATTCGATTTTTATCTCCTCACGGTAGTTTAAAAGATGCAATTAATCTTATTAATAAATTAGAAAAAAAAATTTTTTTTTGACAGTCACCTTTCTTTTTGTCAGCCCTATATATATACTAAAAAAGAATAGAATTCTACAACAAATGATTTTTTTGAGAAAATTACTTCATTACATTAAAACTAGAGAGACCTATTCTGTCGACAAATGAAGCTATTTTTTAAAAGGTAGGAAAGAAAATGACTTCTATACTTTTTAAAATTTTGCGCAAACTTTAGGAGGTCTTTAGACTGAGCCAACTATATCTTTTTTATATCATAAGAACCAAATACAACTTCTACTTCATAGTTGTAAGTATCTTTGATATGTTTCGCAATAACAACACATTTTACGCAAATTTTGAAACAAATATCTTGTAAGATCAAGCAACCATGTTCCTAATAACTATTATTCGTATCACCAAGGTTGGATATTATATACAGTACTTTGTAGCTTGAGGACCGACTAAAACTGGATATTGATGAAAAGTCATCTGGCTCAGGAAACTGTTTTAATATTATTAGAAATTGAATTGAAATAATAGAACAGAATGCGAATAAAAAATATAAAGTAAATAAAGAATGCCATTATGTTCGTATTTAATACATTTCCTAAGGACTTTTCTTTTTTTTTTTTTTTACTTGCTTGTCAATAATTTTTCTTATTTTTTTTTTTTTTTTTTTGAAAAAAATATTTTATACATCAACTATATAGTAAAGGTAGAAGAATACTCATTTCACGTTAGAAAATACAGCATTATCTTTAAATTTAATCACCCAATTTATATAATTAACAATAAAATCCTCCAAATTGTTAACGATTTCATTCATAAAATAGTAAATGAAAATAAATTTTGGTATGTAAAAAAAAAACATCTTTTTTTTTATATGAAAAACATAATAAAACGAGTAAAACGTTACTTATTGGTTTAAAAAGAGATCTACATTTTAAAAAAAAATTTTTTTTTTGATATTTTTTATAAAAAAAGTAAGTGATATTTTTCTATATATAAAAAAAATTTAATCGTAATAAAGGTGAGTAAAAAAAATAATAACAATAATAATAATAGTAAAAGGAGATGGGTCGTGTTATTCGCTCACAAAGAAAAGGACCAGGAGGTATTTTCAAATCTCATACTAGACTTCGCAAAGGAGCTGCAAAGTTAAGATCGTTAGATTATGCTGAACGTAATGGATACATTAGAGGCATAGTAAAAGAAATTATTCATGATCCAGGTCGTGGTGCACCTCTTGCAAAAGTTCAATTTCGTGATCCATACCGGTATTACACTTTATAATATCATGATCAATTAAGCAATAATGAAATATTAATTAATTAATAATAATAATTTATTGTTGTCATTCTTTTTAGGTATAAACTTCGATTACAAACTTTTATTGCAACTGAAGGATTACATACAGGTCAATTTATATATTGTGGTAAAAAAGCATCATTAACAGTTGGCAATGTGTTACCATTGAATTCAATGCCAGAAGGTACAATTATAAGCAATGTTGAAGAAAAAATTGGAGATCGTGGTGCATTGGCTAGAACATCAGGGAATTATGCCACAATTATTGGTCATAATCATGATGAAGGCAAAACTCGTATCAAGTTGCCATCAGGAGCAAAAAAAGTGGTGAACTCATCTGCTCGTGCAACCATCGGTATTGTAGCAGGTGGAGGACGTATTGATAAACCAATGCTTAAAGCCGGTCGAGCCTTCCATAAATATAGAGTTAAGAGAAATAGTTGGCCTAAAACTCGTGGTGTTGCTATGAATCCTGTTGACCATCCTCATGGTGGTGGTAATCATCAACATATTGGACACGCCTCTACTGTCTCTAGAGAAAGTGTTCCTGGTCAAAAGGTAATGTGTTTATTATGTGTGTGATAGATGACAATGTTTAATAATATTTTATCATTTAATAAAAATTAAATTTTTTTTTTGGCAGGTTGGTTTGATTGCAGCCAGAAGAAGTGGTTTGCTTCGTGGTACAAATAGAGTTAAGGGTGCTTAAAAAATTTTTACAATTCATTGGAAATCATATTATTATTATTTTTGTTTTTTTTTGTTCGAATAAATTAAAATTAAATGTATATGTATAAATTTGATCATAATTGATTTTCATATTACTTTACTTAAGCATAATTCCTAGTCCATTCTCGAGCTGTTTATTAATTTAATATTAAAAAAATATCAATCGTGAAATTTATTTTCATTAATAGTTCATTAGTAAGTTTACCAGTTGTAATTGCCGCTATCTCATTTCCCTCTATGTCAAATGGTTGATCGGGATTTGGAGAAGATAAAAAAGTGCATGCGCAGAAATAAGCACTGTACAAGCTATTAAAGTTGGTGACCATTTGTTTTAAACAAAAAAATTTAAAATAAAACAAATACCTCTTAAAATATCTAACCACAATCCAAACGAGAAGAACCAAATTTTCAGCTTAACCAGGTTGTTTCGCAACAATCAAGTTACAGTGCAAATCATCTATACTTAAAAGCTAAAAGGGAGTCAATTAATGTTTTTTCTTTTCATAGATTTTTTAAAATTTGAGAGTTATTATGCAAAAATAATTTTTGCGTTACAAGTTGCATGACCAAATTTGTAATAATTTTTCTTTGATCTAAAGATTTCCAAAATTTGGGAATTTCTAAATCAATGGTCTAGACTCATTGTGTATAGTGGTCCCCTGGATGATTTTCCGTCTAGCAACTAGCCTAGTAGTCGCGTGAGGCTGCTTTTTTACTTACTATTAATAGAATTATTATTATTTAATAATTATTCACATAGTAATAGGCCGTATTCACGAATTGAGTTGGGCTGACGATCATAACCCGCATTCACAGATTAATGGAGTTGTGTGTTCCCTCAATTCTAGAGTTGAAAATCACTACTACTACGTATTAAAATTTCAACCCTGGGTGGACCCAGGGTTGAGTATTTGAGTTCAAAAAAATAAAAAATTTTTTAAACATCAATTTTTTTTTAAATATTGTTTTTTTTTTTAAACTTTGATTTTTTTTTAATCATATTTCTTTTTAATGAATATTCTAAGCAGTGACAACATTATTAATATTAATGGAAACAAAACCATTATTTTTTATTGTGAATTCGCAATTCACATGTGTGAAATTCAAATTTACATGTGAAATCAAATTAGCCAATCAGAATTTCACCCACCATAATATTTCAATTTCACATATATACGACATACAGAAAAAAAAAAATTTTTTTGTTTTTTGTATATATCATGTCTTGACGAAGAAGCACAGGAATTTTTGGCGGAAATATTAAATGGTTGTTATTTAATTTAATTTACATTTGTGAAACCAAAGTTGGAATACGGGCAAACAATTTATTTATTAAAATCTATCTTGACTGGTTTTTTTGCCTTTTTTTTACATACATTTATGTATTATTATTATTTTGACATTTTACATTAATTAACATAATATATTTATCTATAAAGAGGATCGTATGGAGCTATGGTCAATGATGATGGTTTCAGTTGGAATATTCTTATTTGAACGTATAAAAAAGTCACCGTTCCAGTATTATTTAATGATCGTGGCGAATTATGTGATTATTTAGATTTGTTGTGGACATTCAAAGTAAGTCTATAATTGTTTCATAAATGCTTGTGCTGATTGAAATAAAAATATTACACCGATGCATTGCATAATACAATTTAGTATGTATCAATTCTTTATCACAGATTAAACTACAAGAAACTAATGAAAAAATCGATCAACTTCGGTTAGACCATATTTCCAATAAGTTCAACCCATCATCTATGAAACTGACAGATTTAATACCAATCCAACCGCATATACCACAAAAAGACAAAGACAAAAAAGGCGTTGGAGCCACAAGACCGACTAGCTTACCACATGGAACTAAAAATACGTTTATAATTGGTTGGTGCTTTAATCCAGTTGGGTGGAATACAAAAGAAAATTTTTTGAATGAACTGTATTGGATTGAAACGGATAAAAGGTTTATTTCAAAATTTGATGAAAATCAAATAGATAATCCAATATTAAGAGAGTTATAGATCCAAAACACGCAATACTTTATATTAAACAAAAGATTATTCCAACTCTATATAATATAAAATTTCATGAAAAGACTATAAATTTTTATGATTTACAACTACGTAATAGTATTAACGATCATCCTTATTGTTATTATTATTTAGTAGTTCTATTTCCAAGAACATTTATAAAAATGATTTAAAGTTTAGAAATAGAAAAAATCTAACTTAAAGTATTCATTCGGTAGAAGAATGTGTAGTTTATAGGATAGCAAAAAAGAATTAATTTATTAAAGAGTTTATTATTTATTTATTTCACAAAATTTGTATAATAAAATTTATATCAATTTGTAACTTTAATGTTGTATATTAATATGTGCATATAAATTTTTCAGTCGAAAAACCCCAAAATTGTAATTACAAAATAAAATTTACACATAGTAATAGTAAAAGAACCAAGTATTAAAGAAACATTTTTTTAAATCGCCTGCTACCATTAATATGCTGACTAGTAAATTATTTAATTGGGTCAGGACTATAACAGTCAAGAATTTAAAAGTTTGTTACATTGGTTGACTGGCAATTAGACTTTGACTAAACAATAACAAAAGTCGTGCACACATTTAAAAATCAATTGCACACGAAACATAATAAAAACATACTTTGTAGCTTAGGTTCATCAAATTATATGTGCAAAATTTCATTTCCACAACGTTTTTATTGAACTGATAATCAAACAAACAAAGTTTCTTCATCATCAAAATTGTCCATCAGTCTGAAAACGCAAATAATAATAATTAATAAATAAATTAATAATATACATGTATATATGAACTCAATATTTTGTTGGCCATCCATCATTTTCAATTACTGCTTCGATTCTCCTCACAATCAATTTCATTAGGACATCATTTGAAATTTCACTCCATTCTTCTTATTCTTCTTGCAACGAGATAATATTTTTTCAGATTTTTAGCCATCTTCTAATTCTTCTTTCCAACTCTGACCACAAATGCCCAGTTGGATTCAAGCCAGCTTGCCAATTGGACAAAACATTAATCTCGTTAGCTTAAAACAAATTTTCTACAGCTCTTGCAGTATGGTTCATGGCGGGCATTCTCACCTTGGTACAAATATCACTTTCTATTAAAATCTTTTTCAATTAAATGTCGCGAATGGGATTCTAGTATTTGTATATACCATAAGCTATTTAATTTACCATCTACTTTCACTGATTGACCCAAACCATTCTCCGAAAAAAAAAACAAACAAACCTCCATCTCCAATTTTACAATTGGGGTCATAATTTCAAGATTAAATCTATATAGTACCAGAATTTCTTCAAACGCGTCCCGATCCATCATTTTTATATATTGTGAATCTACTTTTGTCACCCCAAACGACATTTCCATTTTCTAAATGTCCAATTTCTTCTCTCAATTTGTCCTTTAAAGTTGCTTCGCTGCAGGAACACGAGAAGAACCATTTAATCCGTGTAAAGTTCTTCTAATAATCTTGGTTGAAACATTGATATTTGATTTTTTCATTAAGTTTATTTTTAAATTGTTCAATTATTTTTTCAATGTTTTTTTGTTTTCATTGTTTATTAATTTAGGACAACCACTTCGATTTTAATGATAATAATAAGATCCTTTTCATCAAGATATTTTTTAATAATGTGAGACACTGCTGTTCTATGAATGCCAATAATTCTAGTTATTTTGTAATAAAAACTGACGATTTTGCCACTTTAGAGTTGACATTTTGAGTTTAAAATTTTTTTGAAGGATTAGCTTAAAAATGATAGATATTTATTCAAGGCGCGTATTATCATATTTCAAAATCTCATATGAGGAACAATTGATTTTTTTTCAAAGTGATCGTTTTTGGTCAATAAAAATGTTAAATTTTACACAAAAAAAATTATGTACCTAATCTGCAAAAGTAATATATTAAGTTCGTTTTCGTGCAATTAATTTTTAAATGTGATGCAGGATCAAGCAAGATATAAAGATATATTAATTCTTAATATATCAGGAAAAAATGGTTGTGATTATACATATAATCTCTTTCCTGATGTAAGTGATAAAATTTTATTTTAATAATTTATTAGAGACCATGATAGAGACCAAGCTAGAGAATGTAAAAAATCTGTAGTGGATGTTGAATATCGTGTTAGGGGTTTCCTCAAAACAAACCAATTCCCAAGGTGTAGTAATATTATCTTTTTATTAATAAAATTTCGAATTGAATGTTCGTTTGATACCCTCGTTTGATACCCTTGTTGTGTAGCAATTGCCACCAAATTTGATACATAACTTCTTTGTCATATGTATCTGCTTTAAAAAATTTTTTGAAGTTGTTAATAAAACCGAAAATAATCTCAGCCTTAAAGTCAAATTTTGACTTTATATTCATATATGTAGTGTGTGTAAATATTTACAGAATCATGCTTACTTTGCTTCCTAAAATATGTCTTTATACTACTATCATTTATTTTAAACAAATAAAGTATGGTTTATACTAATATATTAAATTTTAATTATGGAGACCAAACGTTTTATAGTAAAAATTTATTATGGTGTGAAAAATGAGAGCAATAATAATATTGGATGTAAGGAGTTGGTTAGAATTGATGAAATTAATCCAGACACAAGAATTACAGGTAGAGATCATTGTTGATATTAGATTAATAGAATTTATTAAAACTTGTAAATTTAATAGATTTGATGATAATAACAATTGAAATGTCAAAGACTAATTAATCTCAATTCATAAATCCCTGGAAGAAAATATTGGATCAATACTATATATAGTCAAATCTTGTTCTGATGAATCTATGAGACACAAGAAAATTGCATCTAAAATTCATTATATCAAATTAGAGTAACATGATTCCAACAAATTTAATTATGGCAACAAATCTAATTAACTATAATTCATGATGACGCGTTGCAACATATTTGATTATATATATTTCGTGGTAATACAATTGCAACAATTTAATTGTATGTTTGTTAGCTTAGGTTCTCGTTGGTTGTGCATGTAAAAATTTAATTATTAAAAAATAAATACTTATTATCTTCATTTTCATTAATAAATAAATACCTTTTAATAATAAAATAATAACTAATTTGATAGTTTCATAACAATTCTTTCTGACCATACTAAAAGTAATTAATGATTAATTACAGGAATATATCAACTAAAACTTTATGATGTTGAATTTTCTATCTATTT